TGTGTCTTTCAGCTATGATGTTGATTCTGCTTGATGATATCATATAGTGGGGTGAGCAGATGAGCTGAACCATCATTACCCACTTGTCCCTCAACAGGAGCATCAGCTCGCGGCCTGAGCCTGGTAGAGGCATGGAACCCTCCGTGAGGACTGCATCAGAATTATTAGTGTTCGTGTTATCCCCTCTGGCGGTGGTGATCTTCAAGCGTTCTTATATCCAGCAAGTCCACCCAGTTGCACCATTTCACACCATACAATTTCCGTTCTTGAGTGCTTTTCAGCTCATCATGGCAACACCATCGAAGCAGGATCAAGTCCTCCGGGTACATCGATATGACCCCAGCAGCAAAACATCAAAACAGAAGCAGATCGTTCAATTGAATGCAGATCAAACAATCAAAGGAAAAACTCTCAAGGATATTCGAGAAATTCTCGTCAGCAACCATGTATTTGATTCCAAGGAGTAAGTGGCGTTGCATATATATGAGGAAGTTTTACTGAGCCGGACCAGCCTCAAGAGCCCATTCTGCGAACGCGATGGTTCCGACGTCGGTGATGACATGAAAGTGGAATTATACTTGGCCCTTCTGGGCATCAAATCGTCCGATGTCCCCAATAAAGACATTTATTTCAAGACTAAGAAACTTTTCACCAATGTTGATGAGGCCACTAAAGCGTTTATCAGCCAAAAGCTAGATCTAGCATTCGAGGCACGTCTCCTGACTCTCTCATCATAACACAGACAGCCTGAGAAGGGAAGGTTCTGACTTTGGAAACAGAATCCACCAGAAGTACTCAAGAAAAACCCCGAGCTCTTGACTTCAGCCTTTGATCCGAGTAACTGGAAAGCAGTTCAGGGAAAGCTTAAGTAAGTTCTAGACTGAGAACCAAGGCAAGGTTGTCACAACTAATATATCGGGTCAAGCCATGCCGCCGACCTGTCCGAAAAAGAGTGGAGCGTCATAACAAGAGAAAACTGTCTTCTGAGTGGGCATCATGTGATCACAGACGTGGATAATAAGACTCCTCGAAGAGTAGAACGCAGCGCATATAACGGTATATACACCTTACTCCTTCTAAGAAGACATCGTCACTCATGGTATCCTAGCATTCACCTTGCGCCCTCGCGAGTTTGAAGCGTACGAGATATCCTCGAAAAACACAGATCCAGGAAAGTACAAATGTCGTATTCCTCACTATAGAGTGGACGACTACTCCTCTGTCACGGTGGTTGAGACAAAAAATGCATTTCAGAAGTCGCTTGCCGATAGCTCCTTCGCTGAAGGCTCTTTTCAGATTGCAGGGTATGAATTTTCGACCTGTCGATTTGCCTTATATCTCACTCATTCCTATTTAGAGCAGCTGCGATGGGCCCAGTCTCAGCGGGTGCCAAAGTCGGTGTAGGAGGCGGCACATCCCAAAATACGGGGAAAGACAACAAGACGAATGAACAGAATCTGGTGGTTAACTACAATGCATGTTCTTTCCTTTTCTTCCCCTACTGTACACCACTGACTTGCTATCAAAGTTCCCTCGCGTCACCCTTCACTGGGATCCCGTGTGCCTTGACATCACCGATGAATGTCTAGAGGACATCAGGAAGGTCAAAAACCCCGACACACTCGGAGATTTCCATAACAAATACGGGCTCCTGTTTGCTCGCCGAGTCCAACTAGGTGGCCGACTATCCAGTTCGAAAGCGAAAAGCGCAGATAGCAGTGCCAGTTCCGTGGACGAGGCCAGCAAGTTCAAAGCCGAGGTTTCAGCTTCTGTATCTTCTTTTTTTACCCAGGCTTCACTCAATGCCAGCCATGAAAGGCAAAATCAGAAGACTACCGAGTCCTCGGAGCAAAATTTTAAGAACAGCATTGCTTGGGAAGCCACGGGAGGGGATACGCTTTTATGCAACAAGTTAAGATCCAACTATATTCTTGCCCTCCGCGAGACAGAAAATACTAACGCAGATTTCTAGCCCTCCTCAATGGTGCGCCACTGTCGGTCAGTACAAATACTGGCGGGTTGTCAATGTAAGCTTCCTGGTCTATACAAGATTGTCACATTCCGTCGCTGATATTCCACTAGCAAGAGGATGCTGTCCCCTTATACCATTTTCTCTCGTGCTTCCCGCAGGCCGGCCGTGAAATCATCGAACGCTTTGAATTGAGTGCAAAGGACAAGCTCACCCCTCAAGATGAAAAAAGGCTCAATAAAAGTGTAGAAACGAGAATGGAGGACTTGAAAGAGGGGATGAAGAAGAAAGGCCATCAGACATTCCAGCTGATTGAACAGAATACAGGGTGCTCTATGAGTGTTGTTGAAGGAACTGATGACATCAGTATGCTTTATCCCCTTTCCTGTGCTTGCTTTCTCTTTCTGTCTGTTCAGAGCATTAACTCTATTTCTGAAGTCAAATATCTGGAAAATAGTTTTCACACGAGATTCATATCGAACGCCTCCGAACATCTGGACAAAGTGAAGAAGACCGGGGCATGTATCAAATGCAATTCCAAAGCGTCAGGCAAGACCACTGAGTTCATGGCCCGCAAGCGATTTGGAGAGGGGGAAGAACCAGCTGTAGGTTCCTCCATGTTCTGCTAAATTTGTTTTCAATGCTTTGTACTCTCCCCACTAACGCTTCGTTCCCCCGACCAAATAGCTTAAATTCTGGGAACCATTCAATATGCAATCATGTGGCGATATTTTCCGTCAGTGGCTCGATTATGACCCCTCGCCGACTATCTGGATTTTGCAAATGGCCAAATTCGGTTACATATCAGTTGTTCATTTGTCTGACGCTCCTAGTGCATATTTTTGTTTCTGGGACCCGGACAACCTCGAAAACAAAGGCTACATCCCAGACGGCGCTACAGTCTACCTCGGGGTCGGCAGTAAAAGTGAACATAATGAACAGGAAACTAACTGGCTAAGATCAATAGATGACACAACACGGCAAGGACTTCTCTGTTTTGGAACCTGGATAGCTGATGTCAAACACACTTGGACAAATCAAAATCCCATCAAGTTTACTTACAGGCCCAAGGACATCGTTGAGGTTTGAGCAATAAAGCCACTGGAATTGGGGCATAGCACTCAAAAATTATTGTCTATACTTTTGGTCTTACAATTTTATTCTGGACCATAATATATTCAGTGCTTGGTGGTGGGAAGTCATGCGAAGAGAGAACCGAGAATCTGTGATGGAGGCCTAGTGTCACATGTTAAACTGGTCGTCCACCCGGCGGGGGTAAACTATGGTAGAAGCGTGATAGAGTGTATATGGAGGTAGTATATGTATGTAACAACTTCGGTAGTAATAGCTGTAGATCAGGCTATGGCAAGGAACGGCATCGACGATACTATTGTATTCTGTGTCTGTGTAGATGGATGAGGGTGGATCTCCTCTATCCGGCAGTTGTATGTGGGCTCGCTAGTGCGGGCCAATCAGGAGCGGGGCATATTGGAGCCTGAGGCTCTCAAACACCCCCCCAATGCGCCGCGACTAGTGGCCAAATGGCCTATCTATCGTACATGATTGTATTCATACAAGTTTTCGTCTCCATCGCGTCTACCATCCGTTTCATCCGTCCTCATTCATTGTGTCCCTTCAGTCCGAGGCGTTGGTGGTTTCCACAGACCACCCAGCGCGCCCGGAACGCAAGTACATTGCTGCCTGAGTCGCTCTTTAGGTCGTACTGTGAGAGAAGATCTATAGATAGCGCAGTGAGTGTTATTGTTACGGACATAGGGCGGAACGCATGTATATTAGACAAGCACCGAAGGTCTACTGGCACTAGGCCGAAGTAGTGTGTGTGTGTGTGTGTGTCTATTTTACGTCGAGGTTCGGGACTTTCCACGCATCCTTGGAAACCTCGGACGCGGAAAAACCCTGGTCCCGGTGCGGGACATACGACGGGCAGATCGAGACTGCCTGTCACCTAGCTAAACAACCATCTATCATCTATATACAGGTAGCCTCCCGCGCGGGGGGCTGCTTGGGTTTTCATGACTGTCAAGGCAGCAAAATTGCGCGTATTGGTTTGCAACAAAAGAAAAAGCATGAACGCAAACAAGAGGGGCAGGGCAGGGGTACAATAAAAGGGGAAAGGAAGGGGAGAGAGAGAGAGAGAGGAAGGGAGACCGGAGGTAAGCCTGGATGTCCCTGGATTTAGTGAGTTTTGATGGCCTAATGTCGTCAGCAGATATCTGTATAGAAGTTGGATTCTCCCAGCCAGCCTGCAAATGCGGTGTATCCAGCCTTTGTGCGGAGGATATCAGTCACAGGCTGGCGGCCCCATGGATGTGCTGCTGCTTTGCGGCCCTCCCTGCAGTGATAGAAATGGGATGGTTCCTTTCTGCGGCCGCAGGAGCATGTCAGCAGGGCGTCATTGTGTTTAAAGCGTTCATGGTACTCTGCAAAGTCACCATGTCCGCTCCTGGCGGCGAGGAGGCGGCCCAGGGCTGCTCGTGGAAGGAGGAGCTCTGGGGGGCGCTTCTCCAGGCCTATCCTGAGGTCCTTGTATCGTTTGGGGGCCTTTTCTGCCCAGAACTGTGTGAAGGCATGCCAGTGCATCCTCTGTGCTATTCGTCTGGCAGCTGCTATTGACGCAGGTGCTATAGGGAGATTCAGGGGCCCGTGGCAGCCCATCTTGGCTTCTTTGTCGGCTTCTTCGTTGCCTTCAACGCCTGTGTGCCCAGGGACCCACTTCACGTGCACCCTGCCTTCCTGTATGCCTGGTGCTCTGGTGCGGTTTGGCCATGTTTGGGCGGCTTCTTGGAAGCTCCTGGATACTGACTGGCTTGATCCGGTGGGCTGGCCTTGGAGTTGCTGTACTGCTTCCAGGTTGTCCAGACAGATGTATATGTCTATGGTATGCTTGGCTCTGGGGTTCTTGAGGGCAGCATGCAGGCCCAGGCCGAAGTAGTAATAGTGCGGTCATAACCTGTTTAGGTACAGGGCCGCCCGGAGCGGGCATGTGACTCTGACATTCCTTAGGGAGACCACTGGGCGAACATTAGAGAGACCAGCTGTCACGGAGCATAGACATTCACTGGGCATGGACATTCACTGAGCCTCGCTTAAACCCCTCGCACACATTAGATAGCTCGTCGCCGGCAGGCCTGCCTCTTTCCTTTTCTCTCCTCATGTTAGAATTTCGTCAGATAATCTACCAATATACTCATATTGCTCGAGACCGTCACACCAGCGTTCAGTCTAATCACCAATGGGACTGGCTATTACTACCAAAGTTGTTACATACGTATACTACCTCCATATACACTCTATCACGCTTCTACCATAGTTTACCCCCGCCGGGTGAACGACCAGTTTAACAGCTTTCCTGTTCATGACGGTCTTCACCCAGACGCAGTGTTAATGCATAATATAATTGAGTGCTCAGGCGGGCACTATGTGGATGTTGGCAGTACCAAGTTGCTGGCAGAGGGTAAAGCTGGTATCAAGTCTGAGGTTGAGCCCATTGCATACACGCCATCAGGGCTGCAGTTGTCAGATGGCAGCTCCATCAACGCAGATGCCATTGTATGGTGTACAGGATACGCAGATAAGGATATCCATGATTTTGCCGCCCAGAGCTTGGGCGGTCGTTCTTTGGGCGAGGACATAAATGGAAGTGAGGGTGATGTGATCAGTCCCGCCGCAATTGTCGCTCGCCTGGATGCAACTTGGGGAATCGACGTGGAGGGTGAAGTTCGTGGCATGTGGAAGCGCAATTTGCGACTTGATAACTTCTGGATTATGGGTGGCCATACCCAACACCACCGGTGGCACTCACGCACGCTGGCTCTTCAAATCAAGGCAGCAGTAGAGGGTGTACTGCCGCCTGCATATCGGGATACAACTCACCCCTAGCCCAAGCCAAATAAATTCTGATATACTGTAGCAGAATTCAATGTCTCAATATATATACTACAAGTAGGCATTGGAAAAATCAGTGTTTGTTGTACTGGGAAAGCATTGTTGATCCAATTTATGATAATGATGCCGCCATTTAATGCCTGAATGTACCATGAATTAGTCGAATCATACACGGAATATTTTTAAACATCCTGGTAAAAATTTCTTATCCGAATCCCGTGTATACCAGGTTGACCGGCGCGAACCACATCATTTTTTTTTTGGCTCCTTCTCATACGGCTATTCGCCTCTATTATCGCCTCAACTCTAGGGCAATCTTATTTAGTCAGCTACTTCAATCCTGATCCCGCGAAGAATTCCCAAGCCACGTTCCTTGATCGGAGTTACCAATGGTATTTTCCAGGCCGGTGGATTCTTCGGAGCCCTGCTCATTGCCCCTGCGGCCGACAAACTGCCTAGACGGGGGCGCACTTCAAGCGGGATGTGTTCATATCAGGATGTTTCTGGCCATGAAAGCATTCATTGGCCTTGGCACGGGGATGATTATTGGCTCTGTTCCTCTATATCAGTGAGGCCTCGCCACTGTCACGGGCTCGGAATAGAAGATAATAACGAACTGAATTCCTATCTTGACTATTGTAGCCATCAACGAGAATATCGAATCTGGGAAGGGAAAATGAGAGGAAATCTCTCTGGCGAGTGCAGTCTCTATATAAGCCTTTGTGCGATGCGGCTTGAGCCCTTGTTTGTCCATATTGCTTGTATGGCATCTTTTGGCATGTTGGCAATGTTTGTCTGGTCGTTGAGCCGTCACAGCCACCAAAGACCAGGGGGTTTCTGGTAGGACTTTATGTTAAGTTGTTTCACATCATGTATTCGCGTTAAGCACGCTTACAGATGGGATCATTCAGGCGTCATGGTTGGAATCGGCTACTCTATTTTCGGATGGGTCTGGTACACGTGTTATACAATCCAAGGGAACTCAATGCATTCCTCCTGGGATTCTGGCTGCTGGTGTCTTCCCGCTTCTCGAGCCTCCGAGATGGCGTATGGTTATCCGAAGTTGCATTATGTGCAATAGTCCAACTACGACTCAGTTGAATGACGACTAACAGTACATCAGAAAGATCGTGCGGACGAGGCGTTCCGGACATTTCGCAGTGTCCAAGGCAATAGGCCTGTCGACGAGTTTGCTCAGACGCGCAGTCAGATCCAAATGGACCAAGTGCGTCGTCAAGGGATGAGTGTCTTTCAGGATCTGCGACTGCCTCATAATCTGAAACGACTTGCCTTGGAATTTGCAACGATGTTTGGAGGACAATGCATGGGAACGCTCATTTTGAATAGTCGGTCTCACATTTGCACTGTCTGTGTGGCTCAAGTGAATGAATTCTGACCTAAAGCTCCCACTGTAGAACAGGCTCGGCTTCACGAGACAAACGGCGATTGCCCTAACCGCCAGATGGGTCACAGTTTCTATCCAGGGAAATGTTCTGACTTCTCTTCTCGACCGAGTCGGACGAGTCCGATTGCTCCCCTGGTTTCATTGGAGTTGTGCTGGTTCTGATAGGTGAAATGATCTCGCTACGAGTGTCAAACCAGAATTTGGGGACTGGCGTGGCGGTAATATTCTTTCCAGAAACAAAGGGGCTTTCTCTTGAAGAGATCAATAGCTGTGTTGGAGACCCAGGGCCTGATAGTAGTTTCACGGGCAGCGAGATGAGACAGCAAGTTGAGAAAACCAAGGACGCACAGCATGTGGAAACCTTGGCATAAATGCCCATACTGCGCGTAGATTCCAAGCAGTGTGATTAGGAGAGAAGAACATTCCGTGATGCTTTCACAGCGAGCGGGAACATTCGTTCGAATAGATTTTATCGTTCAATGTACATACACGGCTTCATATAGTAGGGGACGATTCGAAATGGTTATTGACTCATTCTTGCAATCATAGACAACCCATGTGGAACTGATTTAAAATAAACAGCCAGACATTGATCGCTACGACAAATGAGACGGTTATCACCGAGCTACTCGAGTTCTCGTAGGTCCTCGGACACATCTATCAGGTTGCAGCATCAGCAACGAGCCTGGGTATCTAGATATCTCATCCTTGTCAAGTGGAAATGCGCTACAGTTGGCCACAACAGTCATATTAACACTCAACTATCTACTAGCTCTCTGCAGGATTGCAAAAGTGCCGGTCCAGTCAACGCGTCATGCCTGATCTGATGTGTATCCTCATACATCCGAAATATTGCCAAAACGAAGTGAACTGAAAGCACGCACGAAGAGTCAACCATAAAGTTTGATTCTGAATCCGTTTCTGTACAGTTAAACCCTGTGTAGACGATGCCACACTTGGTGCAATTTCGCGTTTATACGATATGATTCTACTAAAAGTGGAGTGTCGGCTAACCGGGGCCGGACTGCATTTGCATTGAAAGGAGCCAAACGCACTTGGGGATGAGGCACCAGCTCGGACCCGCACCGGAGTTGCGAGTTGTCGACGGATGTCCACCGGAACTTTTGGCGTCGGTAGTCCGGACAACATATTCAGCAGGTCGACTCTCCCATAAAAAAGGTGCCACCTGAAGAGACTGTATATTTAAGACTGTCAAGAACTACAATCAAGCACTAGCAACGAAGACTAATTGACTCCCTTGACCTACTATCCACCCACTCCTGGCGATTCGAAGTTATCCAAAGCTCGTGTATCTCCTCTATTTTGAAAACGTCTCCGTTATGTCGTCAAGCACGCCCGATGATCGTCCCAAGGCGACAGCAGTCGCATACCAAGGCGAACCTCTCCCGAACGTCTCCGAGGACTTGGTGGTCCCAAATATCCTAAGCCTGGACTTCGAGGAAAGGCTCTGGGTTCCCCAAGCCCCGGACATCTGGTTCCGACCTATCCTCTTCAACGTTTCCCAGGGCTATTTCGTAAACCTGCTCCGCGTGCGCCGCTCAGGAATCCTGTCGCGTCATCGTCATTCCGGTCCCGTCCATGCCACTACGCTCCGCGGCAAGTGGCATTATCTCGAGCACCCCTGGTGGGCAACGGAGGGGAGCCATGCTTTTGAGCCCCCCGGCGACATTCACACACTCGAAGTACCTGATGGGGTTGAGGAAATGATTACATTGTTCCATGTCACTGGGGCATATATATATGTCGATCCCCACGGGGCGCCCCTTGGTGTGGAGGATGTTTTCTCGAAACTTTCTAGCGCAAAGGCTCATTATGAGAAGGTCGGGTTGGGGGCGGCTTATGTTGACCAGTTTATTCGGTGATTTTGTGCATAATGCCCTTTTTATCTGTCAATAAAGACAAGTCTGCTTATTCAAGCGTTACCCGTTTGAGAAAGGCCCATTTCCAGCATAGTCCATGAAGCAGTAGGGTATTGGTAGCATTTGTACATGGCACGTCGTTGCCGCTTATACGTTCATTGCGATCTCTACAGAAGAGGCTCAGCCGCCCCGGTTGAACAGCAGTTGGATTGATACAGTAGTAGACTGGCTACCGTTTGTCAGCCAAGTTAGTGCAAGTCGTTCCAATTCCACATCCAGGTCTGACCATAGAATGGGTCATTGGAGCCGATCAGGCCTTGGGTGGCGGGGTCAATCGTTGCATTCATTGAAGCCTGGGGCGAAGGGAAGGGCGGAATATCAGAGAGATCATTCATTGAAGATCTTGGTTGTGCAGCGACAGTGTTTTGCGGATCAGAGTTGGAGACACCTGAGGCTGATTGGAACATCGAGTCGGAATGTTCCCAAAGGACTGAGGGTCGCAGACGTCAGCAAAACAAGCTTCGTGCGAATGAAAGATCCAAAGATGTAGAAGAAGGGCTTCTTCCTGTTATGGCTTGGGAATTACGGATTGGGCGGCTGCCGACATACCTTGTTGTATTGACTCTAAAGCCTGGCCGATTCCGGGATCAGCATCTAGAGCGACATTTTCATCACCCTCGTACCCCGATGCCGGCTCTCCCCAAAGGCCATCTTCTTGTGTACCACCCAGTACAGAACAGGTTGACTGAGCCTGTCTATTCTGTCGAGCCTCGTGCGACAGCATTGGCTCCATCTGGCATGTATCATCGGAGTTCGTCGGAGCAGACTTGTCACGGCCTTCACGTGTCTTTAATTGATTACTCGTGCAGCCCCTCGGGCTCTCTAGGTCAAACGGCTGATTCCCAAGTAGTGACTGCATCTCACGCTGGAAAATGAGCCGAAAGAGAGCCTCTAGGACCTTGACCGTTTGAGAGGGGACTATAGACGACGCGGCAAGCGCCTTCTGCAAAGAGATGGAGTTTGCAACTCCTTTCTTGGCATCTTGGGACTGCTCTGAACTAGGGTTTGACAGAGCTACCATACCGAGAGTCACACCAGCAGTGAAGTTCTGCATTGCAATGTATGCCGCTGCGTGGGTATTTTGGGCCGCCAGAAGGACCTGAGTATATCGCGGCAGAATGCTGCACGTCCGACGAGCGCAATGATTGCATTGCTCAAAGCTTGTTGGGCGTGCTTCCGAGGCGTGGGTAGCGGGTGTCATGAGCAAGCTGCGGTTATGTCGCAGAAACGGGCGATGTAGGATGATTTGAATGTTATCATATGCAAGCTGGAGGGTCAGCGCTTGGAGCTGGAAAAGCTGACAGACCTTAACCTCTGAGGTGGACAACTTGCTTGTATCCAAATCCACGTTGGGATCCAGCCTCAGTTCCGGTGGGAGTTGGCTAAACCACTCCACCAGCCGAGTGTTGATTTCCGCCGCCTGTTCCACGACAGAGGTTGGGACTGTTGCTCCGAAACTGTATACTTTATCCATTATTGGGGCTGCTATGCAGTACAACTCAAACTTGGCCCGCTGGTATGTCCCTAACGTGACCTGTGATTGGGGCTGCTTGTTTGAGAACTCTATCGAGTTTAATAACGGATGGACGATCAAAGTATCGTTCATGTCCTGGGGCATTTTCACGTCGCAAAACGTGCAGTCGATTGATGATGGACGCCCGTAAGTCATTGATGCAAACCTAACACTAGTCAGGCTTCGAAGTTGTGATAATAACAATTGTTCGTACTGGGGGTTTGGGAAGATACCTCTCTAGAACGTACAAAGCCCACCACGTTCGTCGGCGAACCTCGACAGTGGCCATGTTCTTGATGCGCCATAGAGCTTCATTATGTAGCCCCTGTACTTGGGCACTGCGGGTTCCTGCACCAAGTATAGGGAATGCCAGATTAGGTTTGCCATTATAAAGATAGAACGTGCTCAACAAGATGCACAGTTGAACGCATTCAACGTCCCCCGTATCAAGGACGTCAAAAAAGTGAGCGCGTATTTGATCCAGCATATTGTTTTGGAAAACCTGTAATTCTTGTCTATTAACGCCGACTCGTCTTATCTTGTCATCAGCGGCATATCTTGCACCCATGGTAAGAACCATTAAGATCAGTACAGCTGTCCCCATTTGTTGCGGGGCCACAGACTGGCTGTCTAGGATCTCTCTGTATTCCCTTTTGAAAGCCTCTTCATCAAGGAGCATCATAAACCAATGCACAGAGTCCCAGTATGATTGAAAAAGAAAGTCACAAAGTCTTCGAGAGGGGAGAATAAGTCCCTGAAACTGGGATGATAAACTGAATCGTCTCTCATTTCCCGGACGCGCATGCTCTCGGCGACTGAGGTGATCTCCCCCAGGGAGTGCAGAGGTAATATCACTCTCGGCTGGTGATACAACTGACCCCTGATCATGTATTTGAAATAGCTATGGGGGAGGAAGTGTTAGTCACTGATGACGTATTTCGGTGTCAGCAGGGACTTACTTCGTCCGTGAGCTCGATTGCAGATACTTGAGCATATCTGTGTGGTTCAGGAAGCAACTCCGATCGGTTTCCCAGCTCATTCTCCTCCCACTCTCGACTGTCTCTCACTCTCTCCTGGGAAGGATCCGAGAATGCGGTGTCTGGCCTTGCAGGGGGCCCATTAAATCGCACATGATCGGCATTTTGACGCCTTGCAACTGCTGGCTTCTGGGATTTCCGAGATTTCCTACTCAGTTCGGTTTCAGCATCTAGCCCAGCCAACCATTCAAGGAGACCAACCTCAGCGGTGCCGATGTTGTTTCACACGCGAAACCAGACCGAACGCATAATGAGCATGGCTTCTCCACGTCACACTGGCAAAACTCCTGTTAGTAAATGTCTTCGGAATCACTGTTTCTAGATCTACCTTGAGCTTCTGCCTTCGACAACGATCGCATGCGCGTCGACGGGTTCCCATGGGCTGCGAATGTATGCGTCTCGCCGATGATGTGCCTGGGTCTTGCATGTTATAAAGTAGATCTCTCGACACCGGATTTGTCGGACTTTGCATGAGCTAACGCAAGAAAAGCTGAATTTATTAATTACGACTCTCAGTCTCTCACCGGTTGGAAGGTGATGGCATGAGGCCGTTAATAGGAGGCATGATGCCGGTAAGTCTGAGACTGACTGTTAGTACCCATCGGGTCACGTAACTCACCGCCCTCGCTTTCTGCCCGGTAGTCCTATAGCTTAACTAGCCGATAGGCCACCAATTCAACCATCCGTTCAGGCGGTAGTCACTAACTAATGCCTTTCCAGACGGGCTGTCCCCCGTATGTTTCTCCGCAGCAGCGCACCACGTTCCCCAGAAGATACGGGGTCGTCTTAAGATAGATGCAATTCCAGTTGGTCTTGCTATGATCCAGTGCACATCACGAGACAAATGTGATCTTGACACTTTCTGCGAAGTGGGCTTTCTTTTTGCCATCCTGGGCTACTAATATGGCATTCGAGAGAAGGATTCTACATATATTCCCGCTGACTTCGACATCCGAAATAATATTACGAAAAAATAATTTGACAGCGTGGCTTTGTGCCGTCAGAAGTGGCCTCAAGACTGCGCAAAATCCCCCTTGAATCTGTTTCCGCGATGGCATGGCATCATGCAAGTGCTTCCGAGTCTCTAGATCCCCCTACCGCCATCAACTTCCAGGCAAACACCGGTCAAATAAGTCGATTCGTCACTGGCCATGTATGCAACTGCATTGGCCACATCCACAGGTTGGCAGACGCGGCCTAATGGTATACTGCTAAGCATTTTCTCGTGTGCCTCGGCGCTCGCATCTTGACCCAGGAAAAGCGGCATCATGGCTGTATCCCCTACCGAGGGGCAGATGGCGTTTACTCGAATGTTATGTTTCGCCCATTCGACTGCGAGTCCCTTGGTTGCCTTTGCATGATTCTTGTTAGCCACTATTATCCAATGCTCTATCCAAAACAGTGGATCATTGCATACCGTGTTGACGGCCCCTTTGGTGGCTCCGTACCACACCAAATTTGGTCGCGGTCGAGCACCACTCATGCTGGATATATTGACGAACAGGCCTGGTCGAGCGGCCTCTTTGAAGTATGGGATGATGGTTTTTGTGCTGAGGTGTATCTGCTTGACGTTAACGCGAAAGACCCGCTCCCACTCCTCGTCGGAAAGATCAATGGAGGGTTGAGCCTTGTGCAGCACACCAGCGTTGTTGACCACTATATCGAGACGATTATATGATAATAACACTCTAGCCAGCGCTTCGCTCCAGTCTGTCGGAGAGGCCACATCTCCGCGGAAGTATGCTATGTTTGTCGTATCGCCGTTGCCAATCTCCTTGGGGCTGGATTCGTTGATGTCAAAAACGAGGACCTTACCACCCTCAGCAACGAGCTTGTTCACGATTGCCTTCCCAAAACCCGTGGCACCGCCGGTGACGATGGCAACTTTATCCTGGAGTCTCTGGGAAGTGCTGTTGGAAGGAATTGGTCCAGTCATAACTAACACGATTGTGGGGTTAAAATACAAAGTGGGCAAACCGAGCTTATGCCAATATATGCAGCACTTTGAAGTTCTTTCCTATCTCCGTTATGCATAGCACTGGCTTTATATCAAGGATGGGTTGCATATACAATACTTCCGACCCCGGGTGAGCATTGGCGGATAACTTCCAAGACGCGGACCGATTCCAACACATGTCCGGTGGGGGTCCACCGGACATCGCCAGTGTTCGGCATGATCAACCCCTCTCGGAAGCCCTAAGCTTCAGATGGGTCAAAGCAAATGTGGAGTAAAGCCAACGACATTGATTCAAAATATGATCTACGATGAGGTCAGCTTTTCTTGTGGTTGTTTCTAGGGGTGCGGGGTACATGGAGATTCCGTGCCATCAATGAAGTGTGTACACGGGCAGTATATATCTCGGGCATGCATTGCTTGGTTGCATTTCGATAATGACATATTTTTAGCTGAGATAATTCTATTCGGCAGAGTTTGGATTTCAATACATCGATTGTTTCGATTCCTTGTGTTTACATTCGTATCACTCTTTCAACCATGTCCGCTACAAAATTGTCTGTAGGTGAACTTTTCTCCTTACAAGGGAAGACCGTCATCTGCACAGGCGCAACCGGAGGCATTGGACAAGAAATGTGCATCACACTTGCAGAAGCCGGCGCTGAGATTGTATCTATACAAGTATCAGACGATCCTCATGCACAGGTCTTATCTCACCGACTTGAAAGTCTCGGGAAAAGCTTCCGAGCTTTCGAATGTGACCTTCGAGATGCTTCGGCCATGCGCCAGACATTCCAAGTTATCTGGGACGCAGGAGTTATGCCTGACATACTGCTGAATTGTGCCGGTGTCAACAGAAGAGGTCCAATTGCACAGGTGACTGACGAAGATCTGGACTTGGTAAGCAAAAACGACAGCGGCTACCCTATCTGTCCCTTTCTTCCGCATGAGCTGGAATTGACTTGCCATAGATTCTGTCGATTAACCTAAAGGCCACCTATATCGCTTCTCAAGAATTTAGCAAGCGATTATTAGAGCTTCAGCGGCCCGGAAAAATAATCAACATCGGTTCGGTCACATCGTACCGCGGCATGTACAACGTGTCTGCCTACGCGAGCTCCAAAGGCGGCGTTATTCAATTGACAAAGGCCTTTAGTAACGAGTTCGCCCGACAGGGAATCCAAGTAAATTGTATTTGTCCGGGGTAAGTCGCCTCCAAGAAAGCCATGGGGTGCTTTCTTCCTCCGGTGTTTTTGGATCCGGGAGCTGAAAGGACAATTCAGGTACATCAAGACCGCCTTGACGACGCAACTGGAGAATGACCCTGAATACAACGATTTCATCATTCGTGGAACACCTGCCGGCCGTTGGGGGACACCAGATGACTTGCGTGGGGCTGTTACATTCCTCGCTAGCCCCGCGAGCGATTTTGTGACAGGGACGGGTGTGGTTGTTGACGGGGGCATGCTTGGTGCATGAGGATGCGGAGTTATAGACCAACTGGCTAGCTGTTTATTGATCTATCTGTATGCTTCATTACGATATCATGCTTGTCTTGTTGGATGGTGTGTGAGTATATCGGGAGCCTGAGGTTGATATGGGACTTCATGCAAATACTGCTCAACTAGCTATATATTCAGATTTTACCTCCCGAGACAAATTCTCAACGTCAACGTATTTATCTTCAATTTGAACTAATAAAATGCCAGCACTTTACCTTTCCCGTGATTTATGGGTTTTGACCACATAATAACTGGGCCAACCCATATATACATGAGTTGGAAAAAATTCTCTACGGGTCAATGTGTTTGCGGTGATTGTAGCAGCTTAACAACACAACATGGTACCGCCATCACCATCACCTGGGCTCTTATAGTTTGGCTATGCACGATCATATGCGTCTTAGGCGGCTTTCTTGTATGTACAAACTGAACCATCATTTGTTGACAAATACGAAGTCTATACTATGTAAAATTTAGTATGGTTTGCGCCTGCTAGTTCACTTCCGACGACGTCCGCCAAATCCCCATTGTATCTGGCTCGGGGCCAGAACGTCGACTCCCAGCTCTTCTCCAAACGCGAACACCAAACCAGGATTCTTCTGGAACATTCGACCAATGAAAATAATATCAAGATCATCTTCCAGCAGACTGTTCGCCTGTTTACCCGAAGTGATCGCACCGACAGTTCCAACGAGAATCTTGTCACCGAGGACCTTCTTCACTTCTTGAGCAATTGGGGCCTGATACCCTGGACCACCTTTGATCTTTTGCCGTGGGTCGTTGCCTCCACTCGAAACATCGAGAACATCGACGCTCCGAGTGGCCAGAACATCAGCCAGACGAATGGTCTCATTGACGTCCCAAGTAGGCTCGTGTTGAAGATGCTCCAGCCACTCTGTGCCGCTGACGCGGAAGAAAAGAGGCATGTCCTCGGGCATATTCTTCCTGGCAGCATCCACCACTTCCAGTGCCAACCTGGTGCGATTCTCGAAACTGCCTCCATACTCATCCGTTCTTTTGTTCGATACCGGCGAGAGGAACTCGTGGATCAAGTACCCATGCGCGCCGTGGATCTCAATCGTCTGTTTGATCGTAGTTAGTTTCCGCGGCACTCTTGGTGGCTCGAGTAGATATAGACTCACATCGAATCCAGTTTGCACAGCTCGCTTGGTCGCGTCGCCCCACGCTTGTACCAATGATCGAATCTCGTCGCGGGACATCTCGTGCGGAATGAGGTTCTTATCCTTGTAAGCGATAGCAGATGGACCATATACGTCGTCAGGCCACCCGTTAGCCTGTTCAAACACGTTAAACATCGACCCTTATTTACAGCGCGTTCTCGGGGTATTTGATGTACCGGTGTGAATCCTTCATTTTCAAAGCCATTGACCTGCATATACTATTAATATGACATTTTCACAAAGCGAAGTTCCCATGGGGCATACCGTTTTCAGGGCCGCGGCAGGGCCGCGAGCCATGCTCAACCAGGGCGCGACAGTGTTTGCCTTCCGTCCTGCATGAGCTAGTTGAATACCTATATGCTGGCCCTGGCCATGTGCGAACTCCACAATTCTTCGCAGTGGCGCGATCTGGGAGTCTTTCCAGAGACCACAGTCCTCGGGTGTGATTCGACCATTTGGAGTGACCGAAGTAGCCTCCACGAATGAGAGGCCAGGTCCACGAGAGATAATCCCGCTGAGATGAGCGAAATGCCAATCAGTCTGGTGTCCGTCTTCGGCTGAGTACTGGCAAAGAGGGGAGAGCTGTTGTGGTTAGTTCCTGTTGCGCAGGGATTGAGGTGTCAACTGGGAAACATACGAAAATGCGATTCTGCAACTCAAGTCCCTTGATCTTCAACGGCGTGAACAGTTTCGGCAGACTAGGGTCATCTGGAGTGCGTAAAGTCGCTGTGCCCGCGGGAGTATCCTGTTTAGGCGTGAAATAGGGCACTCCCTTGGCGGCCTCGTTGGCTATCTCGACGATAGCACTTTCGTCAACATTGGCGTATCGTGATTGCACCATGGTGTCGAATAGAATGCGTAGTTTTTCAATTGATCCTCAATCGATGTGATGCCCATGCGCGCCTGTCATCTTATATGAGGTTATTTACCACCACTCTAGTTGCTTGGTGGCTCTTGAACAATTTGTCATCCAGCGCCGATTGAAGATTGGGAATAGACTCAATAGAGGAACAGACTCTGGAAACAGCACACACCATTCTGACCAATGGCCCCTAATGACTTCCGCCGGACATCCGGTTGGACATTAGTCATTACCTGGACCGGAGAATCAACGACGGACTTTCGCTCCACCGGAGTTGGATATAATCGGCCTTCCTTCGGCTCCGGTGGACTTGGTGCTCACTGATGTCCGGTGATAGTAGGTCACTAACATACCGACAATGGAAACCTTGACAGTTTACTGCAGGCTACAGAGATGATGTAAAGGAAATTAATGATCGCATATTGCTTGAGACGGGGAAACCCCCAACCCTTCTCTTTCTATGCACTTCTCGCTCCCCGTCTGGGACCCCGGCCCCCTTCGGCTCAAAAATGCTCGGGAAGTAAACAATGCTAGGAACTGTTTAGTAATATCGTAGATTAGTTAAGTTACATCAAGATCGTCAATGACAAATGAGGACTCTATTCCATAAAACTTTCTGATCGGTTCAGAATTCGGCCGATTGCGAGCATATAAGATAGCTTAGCTTGGTCTATTTGCATGAGCATCTATCTCCGGACAAATTTCCGTGGCAATCGACTATTCCTTCCTGTGCTCTAGACCTATCTGTTAGACCATGAGCAACCAAACCGTCGGCGTCTTCCCTGCCGCAGGTGGCATTGGAGGCAGCACTGCCAAACACCTTCTGCCCCGCTTTCCGGCTAAGGACCTTGTCTTCATCGCTCGGCACCCCGGGAAATTGACCTCCGCCAAATCGGCTGGTGCAGACCTTCGTCGGGCTGATTATGACGATGACGCCAGCCTACAGCATGCATTTGATGGAGTGAACACTCTCTTCTTGATCTCCTATGCATCAGTTGGGCACGAACACAGATCTGAGGTGAGTTGCTGCAATGGAAAACCAAATTGTAGCTTTGCAAGAACATGCTGACATAGTTTCTGGCAGCGCCAACGACTTGCAATTGACTTGGCAATTCGCAGTGGAGTTAAAACCATCTTCTACGGCTCCTTGGGCTACGGTGGCAATCCGGAAAGCAATGAGTCCGTGGCTCATGTGATGCAGGCTCACTTGGACACAGAGCAATACCTCGATGAGTGCACCCGTAAGCACCAGGGTTTCAGCTACACAGTGATACGCGAGGGTCTGTACTCCGAATCATACCCGCTTTACACAGCCTTTTTCAACCCCAAGCAGCCTGTGGATGAGATCCGAATCCCACATGATGGCTCCGGTCCGGGCATTGCTTGGGTCAAACGTGAGGAACTGGGAGAGGGTACAGCGGAGCTTCTGAAAAAATTCCTCAAAGACCCCGCGAGGTTTGTCTATCGACAGAAGAAAGTTCTGCTCTCGGGGACTAAGACCTTGACGCTGGGTCAAACCGTGGATATCTTAGGTAAAATCGCCAAGCACCCCGTTCGTATCCACCAGGTCTCCCCCGATGAGTTTGCGGCACAGCCCCAGGTCTCACCTAACTTTGTCTATCATGGATTTGATCACTCCAAGGTGTGGACCACAACCTTCGAAGCTTTCCGTCGTGGGGAGGCGGCGTATGCGTCCCCGCTACTCAAAGAACTTTTGGGTCGCGAGCCGGAGGACTTTGAGACGACGATTGGCATAGCGTAGAATGCTGTGGTAGCGTCTAGCGAGGTGTTGTAACTAGCGATTCGCTTTGGATGGCTAAGCACTCATTCTATTATCATGATGGATATAGCCTATCAATATCACGTTTTCGTGTAATTCAAGTTCCTCGCCTAGAGCCTGGTGCAGTCCAGATAATCGACTCCCTGATCCCTGAGCTACCCGCTCTCTTCATTGGTTATGATCCCGGGCCTGCCTATAATAGTCTAATGAATGCAAGGCATCCTGGGGGCGCTATATTCGCTTAACATCGTCCATGGCCCGATCGATCAATCCTGACTGCGAGCTTCACCCTTGATACCCTTCCTACGAGACTATCGGCCAATAGTCAGCTCGATTGGGCATCCGTCCCTTTCTTCTTCAACAAAATCTCTTGTACGATAACTAGGGATACTGAAGCCATTGGTATCCAGACCAAGAGAATTTCTAGCCTTTGGTTATCTACAAAGGTTCATATTATAGTATCAAGTAAGATGTATTCTATTGTTAGGATCTGCACTGTGCCTAGATGAGTTCGGTGGGTCTGTAAGTAACTCAGCTTGGATAGGGCCGATAGGCACGGATGTATCCGTGGATGCAGATGCATGCAGGTATGCAGATATCCAAATGAGGAATGCTGATCGGCACGTGCTTGAACATCGGCAATTTTTTTTTTTTTTTTCTTTACAGCGGCCGCCGCGCTATCGCGGCGCTAGCGGCGATACGGCGCCAATTTAGACCATGTCAATCGTGGCGATACCGCGGCGATACTCCCGTGTATGATCTGTTCTGGCACAGTTGGGCTCTCTTGGAATCTTCTCGCCCATATTTCCCTATGTTCACCAACACAAGCACTACAATGTCATGACCACGTCTGTCCCTGCTTCCACCCTGGCAGATGACCTGGACGCGTTGCCCAAAGCTGCAACTGTCATTCTCCTTTCTGGAAAGAATTCACAGACAGGAAAGAAGGGTGTGTTTGGCTACTACTTGCCCTATGTTGAGTATTGAGAGCAAGATCCACCATTCCTGTTCCAACTCAGTGACCTTCAAGATGCGTTCCGTGGAAACGCCCCCCAACCAGGCTGTGAGCTGAATAGAGGTGAGCTGGTTTTTGGGCAAAGAGGGAATGGGGCTATGTTAGTGTTACAGCAGGATTCAAAGAAGGCAATTGTTTCTCACAATGTCTCTGGACAACATGAACCAATGTATGCTGCTACCGCCTGGAGGGGAGACTGGCAGGTTGAGGTCAAGGTCAAGGATATTGTGCTGTGGATTGAGCCGCCACTTGAAGACAGCGATGAAGAGGAAGAGGAAGAGGAAGAGGAAGAGGAAGAACAATGAATGTGATGTATTATACCCTGTTTTCAAGCCCAGGTCTTCTGACAAAATCCTACACAGCACAATATCAGAGACCCAACACAGTGATGCCTTTTAACTTGTTCTGTACCAAATCCATCCGCTCATGGGAAACAACCCCCAAGCAGGAATACACCTCGAACATATCAACAGTAGAATCAGAGATGTCATTATCAACTGGATGGGGAAATCCACTGCCCAGTTATAAAAAAACCCCCATGCACAAGGCTTATCACGGGCGCGCGTGCATTATGGCTGGATCTCAGCCAATGTAGATCTTGTTCCCCACCACTTGACTGAGGGGCAGATCACGGCGAATACTGTGTGTATATCAAGGTGATAATGATGACTATGGCAGAGCTCCAGAGAAGAAGCTGGTTACTGAGAAGGTTATGATGTGTTTATTCTGAACTAGTTTGTTCTGAACTGGGTTGAATATTGGTGGTTTCTGTGTCGATGACCCTTGAAACAATATATATCATTGCAGAGGATCTTATCAACATGTCTGTTTGTCATTCTTTTGTAATGTATGAATGGTTCTATTGATAGAATATTGCCTTGATAGGAAAGTCATTGCTGCAGTGTGCCTGATAGTGGTATAGTCAGCTGCCATTGGATGGATCATGGTCCGGCCAATGCACACCACCATCAGGTGAGCACATCATGTTTTTATAACAGCGCCGGAGCTGTTGAATTTGGAATCCTTCAGATACTGTACACCAATTCTGGATCATGAGGTGTTGGAGTCACATTAGAAAGCGGCATACTTACTCTGCATGAACATCTGATGATACCAATGATACCAACATGCATTTCACATGCCCACTTCACCCACCCGCTGCTCTGTACAAGTAGTCTGCAATGCTGCTTTCTGTTCTGTGCATGTGCGCGTGGGATGATATACAGAGGATGGGTGCTGATGCTGCCGCAGGGCATACATACATAGTGTCACGGCTCGATAACTGGTAGATACCAATGAAGTAATATTCATATCTAGACTAGGTAGTAGCCTCTCGACGAGAATAATCAACATGAGGAAGGAAGAAGAAGAGAAAGGATGCTGCCAGCATTGACATGTGCTTCCAGTCTGTACATAGTAGAGGTACATAAAGCAATAAAACTGAAAAAGGGCATATGTAATGGAGTGCATGCTTTTAGTGAATTTTGTATCATGGAGCTGTAGCATGCCAATAGCAACTGCCTCCAACATATAATTCAATCACTTTGATATTGTTACAGACCTTATCCTGTCAGCCTCACGTGACGATGCGGGGAGTTAAGGCAGAATCATTGGGTATGCTCAATGGGATGATCAGTGAGTTAAGC